AAAATATTATTTTATATGAACCATAAAAAATATTATGTATGTAATATATTAATTTTTTTTAAAAATGTGTAAATTTTTTCCTAACCCACCCATTATTGCCTAGTATTGGTGAGATTATTTAAAATTAGAAAAAAAAATGTAGCAAAATTTATTTATAATTTTATTTTTCAAATATATATTTTATTTATTATTATTATTTTTTTTTTGATGACGTGGGAACCCGCAGTCGCTATCCGAAAATACGCACTGGTAAACCCCCGATCAAATCTAATACCCTGCAAACCAAGCTCGACCACAATATATTGTTAATAGTTTGGGTGTGTTAAACTTAAACCCACCACAATTGGGCTGAACTCTAAGAATATAAACATCATCTAATTATTAGCCTGGCTTGAACCAAAAAAATAATAAAGCCCAATGCATTTGGGCCTAGCTACCCTTACCAGCCCACTTGCCAAGATTAATCACTTCCGTTAATATATATATTTATTTATTTTTAAAAAATTACCATATATGAAACGAATTTTAAAAATAGAAATAAAAACAAAAATATTTTTTTATATAGTAAAAAAAGTATAAACAATAATCCTTTCTCCGTCCCAATATAATTGAACTATTTCACTAGCGATATGATATTTAAGGAAATAAAATTTAATTAATTAATAATAATAAATTATGATATTATTTAATTTTTTATGTAATTCATAATAATAATAATTTTAAAATAAATTTAATATATTTGATTTAAAAAATAGAATTTGTATTTATTAAAATGTTTTATGTAGCCCAGACGGATACATACGCTCGAGCCATACTCTTTATGCCTTTATTTTACAATAAAAGTATACGCTCGAGCCATACTCTTTATGCCTTTATTGTACAATTTTTGGGGTGATTAGTTACAAAAATTAACTAATTATCTCTTTAACAATTCTTAATTAGGCCTTTGACTTTCCTTAAACTGATTTAATTATAGAATAAAAATCATTTTTGGTCTCACTCAATATTATAATTATCAATTTTGGTTCAATTGAATATTTTATTTTTTTAAATCAATTTTGGTTCAACTCAAAAGAAAATTTATCAAATTTAATCTCATTATGGTTGACTGAGATTGAATACGGTCGTATTGGCTTAAACACGTGTTGAATGACTTAGAAGAATGACTGGGCGTCTCAAACAGTCAACACGGTCGTGTTGTGCTCAATCTGACTGTGTTGATTACCTTGCACTTTTGAACACGACTATGTTCCTGCCCGTGTTCAGAATGTTTATGCTAATGTTCATGACATTGTTCTCAACACAGTCATGTTCTAAGACATGTTCATGACTATGTTTTCAACACAATCATGTTATAGGTCATGTTCATGACCATGTTCACAACCATATTTTATATTTCTAAAATTATGAATTAAATTTATTTTACAATTTTTATTATAATTTTTGAAAAATACATAAAATTATGATTATTAAAAATATATATTAATATATTATTATTTTTATAATTTTTGTGCACTTATGTTTTAAAATATTAAAAATGGGTTATTTTTTAATCTTATAAAATAATTGAAAAAAATATTTTTGTTGACTTATAAATATATATTTATCAAATAATCTTAATAAATAAGTGAAAATAATAATAAATATGACCTATAATATGATCTATAATATGACAATACTGAAAATATGATCGAACATGGTCTACAACATGGATTGTGTTGAGAACATGATCGTAAACATCGTCTAAAATATGACTGTGTTGAAAACACGATCATGTACATGATCAATAATATGGTTGTGTTCTGAACATATATATAAACAAGGGTAGAAACACAGTCGTGTTCAGAAATATAGGGTAATCAACCGTCAGGTACACTCATTCACCTTTCAGAGTCATCCAACGCGACCGTGTTCAGTCCCAATCTACCATCATGAGACTAAAATTGATAAATTTTCAATTTAGTGGACCAAAATTGATAAAAAATAATAATAAAAAAAATCAATGTAACCAAAATTGATAATTATCGTATTGAATATGACCAAAAATAATTTTTGCTCATTTTTATATTTAGTTTATTCATAGAAAGCCTAAATAATAATTTAATTACTTTGGATTTTTCTTGACTCATAGCATTTCTACTCATTGATTTGTGATTTTTGAATTTAATTCCGGGTAAATTATACAACACCTCATTGTATCTTTAGTAAAAAAAATATAAAATACCTCGTGTTTTATTTATTGCGTGAAATCTCATTGTATTAAATTAAAGTTTGCACAAAATATTCTTTTCGTTCAAAATTAATATTTGGGTGTAAATATGATCTTAACTATGCAAGTAATTTATTAATCATTAATTTTATAGTTTATTGGAGACAAATTGTTATATGATTTTTACAAAAATTATAAAATCGAATGATTGATTATTTATTATTTATTTTTATTACAAAACGACTATTTAAGATAGTTTTTTTTTTTTACTGGTATAAAACTTGCATAATTAAGTTTGTATTTGCACCCAAAGATCAGGTTTTAATGAAAATAGTATTTTTTGCTAACTTTAATTCAATATAAGAAAATTTCATTCAATAAATAAAATACAAAATATTTTATGCATTTTTATTAAAATACAAATGATTATTATATAATTTAAATCTTTAATTTGTGAAAAACTACATTATACTCCCTCTGTCCATTTACAAGGGTTACATTTACTTTTGGCGTGGTTTTAAAAAATAATAGTATTTTAATTATAGTGAGTAGTTAAAAATAGTGTAATGACATTTTTGTCCTTATTTTTTTGTGTAAAAGTAATGATGTGATGTAAAGTAAGGGTATTTGCGGAAAAAAATAGGGTATTTAATGAAATGTAAACTTTGTAATTGGACGTCCCAAAATAGAAACATGTAAACTTTGTAAGCGGACGGAAGGAGTATGAATTAATTTATTTTATCAACTATTCAATAATCGCTCGTAAAAGTAGAAATGTTCATTATTCGAACAAAAACACAGTTAAGTTTCTGAAAAACATTGACATGTCAAAATAGGTATTTTGTGATTTTGAATATTTTTTTAGTCAATATTACTGAATGCACTAGTGACCTAGCTAATATAATGCATTAAACTATTTCATCTTGAAATACATCTTAGTAAGTAATATTGGTTTGTTGTCATTTCTACCTTATTTTCTTCCTATATATATATATTTTTTATTAATATTAGCCTAGCCATGTATTATATATTTGAATTCATAAGTGTTTCTTTTGAAACAACCTCAATTGGTTTTGAGAGGTAATATTTCTAGTTTCGCCAAGCACCTTCACTTTTTTTTTTTTTTTTCTCAATCTCAATACAAAATGATAGGTAGTATAATTACTAAAAGTGGTGACATTATATATTGTAAAAATATCATTTTCACAATATAATTTTATATTACTCCATCATTTTTATATTTTTGTAAAAATAATTATACTAATACCAAAATATCTTTTTAACTTTTAAATAAATTATAAATATAAAATGACACATACACTTAATTTTTATCTAAAGTATTTAGAGCAAAAATATTTAAAATATATTTTTGTAAAAAATACTCCATCCGTCCCGTACAAATAGTAACGTTTGTTTTTTGCATGTAAATTTTTTAATATTAGTATTATATTGTGTTGTAGTAAAAAAGACGAAAATACCCTTATTAGTATTGCGTAATATAAAAGTGGTGACATTTGTATAACATATTGTAAGTTTGAAGGGTATTTATTATGTTAGGTAGGTAGTATAATTACTAAATTAGAAAATAGTACACTTATCTTGGGACGGACGAAAATGGAAAATAGAACTTTTCTTACGGGATGGAGGGAGTACATTTTTTAAAAAAATACATTTCCCCCCAAAAATTAATATATTACGTACACTTATTAATTTTTTATATAATTTACACAATTCTTTATACTCCATATAAAAAATATATGTTCAAATTATTTTAAACAAATTTTTGTTATTTTATTTTACTACAAAACCTCAGGATGTGTTCTTCTATGTTTTTTTCATACACAATTGTCCCAAAAAAAGTTAATATACATCACACATATGTATTATTTTTAAATTTATATACGATTCTTTATACTTAATATACATAAATATTATCTCTCATCCGCCTATTAACAATTTATCCAATTTTCTATTGGTAAATATCAATTTTTCTTTTTAGTAACTTTATTTTTTACTAAAATTAAAAATAACCTTACAATCTATAATATATTTACACAAATGACATTATATTTATATCCACAATACTAATACTCCCTATGTCCCATAACAAAGTATCAATTTTCCATTTTAGTCCGTCTCATAACAAAATATTCATTTTCTTTTTTAGTAACTGTACTATCTACTTAACATTACAAATACCCTTACAACTTACAATATATTACACAAATGCCATTACACATACTAAAGTTATTTTAATCATTTATACTTTATTCATACTAAAAATAAATGAATATTTGCTTTTGGGAGGGATGAAGTATTATTTTAATCTTTTCTACTTTATACATAATATTTAATCTTTTTAAAATTATATACATAAAGTAAATAGACACATAGATAAATGACAAACAGAATATTTTTATATTTTGTATACGAACTATTTAAATATTTAAATATTTTTATATTTTTATATTTTATATTTTTATAAATGATAAATTATATACGACTCTTTATATTTAAATATAAAAAATTTCAAACTATTTTCATAAACAAACACACCCCCGGTCTTTCTGGAATTGGGACAAAGCGAGTGTATTTATTCATTTAATAATATTCACGGCATAGTTTAATAGTTTTCTTCACACTGTGAAAGTGATAGTGCCCGGTTAATTTCCTACGGTTTTGCTTACTATGAAAGAGCTTTGAGTGACGATTTTTAAAAACGTGTTGTCAGGTATTCCGAGTCCGCGTTATTCGACGCGACATATATAAGAGGAAGAACAAGGTTCCAAGAACCAAAAGGTTCTTCGAGGAAACAGAGACGACCAGCGAACCAGCTAGGGCTTTACGTCTTCCCAACTCACCGCCTCATTTCGAGAGAATTACGCCAAGAAGCAGCACTTTCATTGATGTAGCGGCATTCTTAGGATTCATTTCATACTGCGGGCCTCGGCCAGGTAATTTTCCAGTAACCCTAATCTCGCTAGGGATGTTTATAGTTTTTATTTGAAGGTCGAGACAATTGTGTAACACTTAGGGTTAGTGGAATTCCAGTTCTGCTGTTCGATTGGATTGATCAAATATCACAACGGCACTTAGGTCAATTGTATATGCCGTTTCTGAGAGTGATTATGCGACAGAAGCACATATGAATATATGATGTTGTATACTTGTAGGATAATTGGTGCTTTTATGTTCTGGTGGAGTAACGTGTTATTGTTTGGCAGACAGAAGCAATAATTTATTTAGTTAAAGATTCTGAATCCAAATATTGAAATGGAATTGATCTCAAGTTTTATATGTTTCGTCAATGCAGAGTCTCTCGGTGAAAGATCATTTTTTTCAATCACTTTTCATATCACGCTGGTTAACATACAGGTTTTAGCCTCAATTTTTCCATAGAAATACAAGAAGAAGAAACAAAGAGGGAAACAGAATACGGGCAAAGGAGTATTAACCTAAAGAAATGAGAAAACCTGTACAGATGTCTTTATTTCTGCATCAATTGAACTTGAAAATGTTTTTTTTATACTAACTGATTCTTCATATAATGAAGATAGTTTATTTTTTCTTCTTCCTAATTGGATCCAAAGACTGGACCCTTTTTGTTCTTAATGTTTCTATGTTATTGCTGATATAAGTTGGAACGTAGGTAGCATGGCAAATCCGCAGAATGTTGAACTGGAAGCTGCGAAGTTTCTGCATAAACTTATCCAGGAATCCAAAGACGAGCCTACTAAATTAGCCACAAAGCTTTACGTGGTATGTATTTTATATCTTTTCTAGTATCTTCTATGTTGGTTTTTATCTTTAAAGTTTATATGTATCTCATAGTTTGGTGCTATTTTATGGGGTGGACAGATTTTGCAACATATGAGATCTAGTGGAAAAGAAAATTCAATGCCTTACCAAGTCATATCAAGGTAAATGAGCCAAACATTTTGTTGGCTAGCGTACATCTATTTGATTAATCCATTAAATACTTTGGATTGATTGTCCAAATCAACATTTACTCACTTTATTGTTGGAAGATAAAAGAGGGGTTCAAAATGTCATGGTATTATATCCTGAATTGGGTTGCAAATGGTCTTTTCATCATTTTGGTCCTACCATTGACATAATTAATAAGATGGAAACCTACCCGTTTTTTAACGAATATCTGGTCCTTAAAATAACTCTGTATTTTGAATGGATTACAGATTGACTACTTCTCATGATCTTAAATTAAATTTATTAGATTTATATGAAAAACATCATATATTATTATATTAAACATCAAAATCAAGAACATGGTTGCATTTTGGGCGAGTTCATTTGATATTAAAATTGTGTATATTTGTTACCAACTTGTGCCATATTTTATTTGTAATATTTATAGAATCTATATGTGTACAATATATTAATATATTGTATGCATCCACAGATACAGATGTACATACCTAAGCTACGACATAATCCAAAGTTATCAAAGGGTGTATGATGTGTTGTGAGGTGTGTTGCAACACATTGACATCGAAACTTGTGCTGAATCCTATAACAAATAAAATATATTCATGTATAAATAAAGTTGCCAAGAGTAACTCAATTGTATATATTTAATAAAATCAGCCATTGAGCACGCCAGAGACCATTATGGTACAATGATGTATATGTACAGTTATAATGTAAAGTATTAAAACAATATTTTGTAGAAATAATTATATATGTTATGCAATATATTCTAGGTGTATTACTGGTGTGAACAGATATTATGATCACATAATCCAATAACCAGACTTACAAATAATGACTATCAATGTAAAGTTTAGTTAAGTTTTGTAACCATTAATTGTCTATCTTAAACAATGTATATGTTTAAATGACTTAAACAGTTTATTACATGGATTTGCTATTATTATTATTGTTATTATTATTATTATTATAACAGAAGGTAGGTGTATATGCTAATACACGTGTGCATTACCTAACATTTATTACTATAAGTCCTACTTGTCATTTAGATGTGCTACAGTTTTGTTCTTTTTACATTCGTATCTGTGCTGTTTATATTTGCAAATGGTGCAATAAGGAATTGCTGTTTCCATAGTAAACAACTATTTGATGCTTGACTGTACCTAGGAATCAAAACAGTAATATCTCAGGTTAATAATTTGTTGATTCTGCTGTCTAATCATTAAACCTACGCGTATAATTTGCGTAATCATTAAACATACTACCACACGTACGAAGGAGTAATTTCATATTTTATTCAATTCTATCCTTGTTCTTTTTGAGTATAAATTGCAGAACAAACTTTATTCATATTATCTGTATCTTTTCTCCTTCCATTTGATTTCAAATTCATCCATTTCTTCACATGCTCAAAAATGTGTCCACATAACCTATTATAGCAAAGACCTTTACAGTAATACCGTGGGTGAATATTAATCATTTTACAATTACCAAGTTTGATTCAAACCAAACTTCTGTTTCATTCACTTCTTCTCAAATCCTTTTCTCTTCTTTATCAAATTATATAATCACTATAATAACAAGTTAAAGGACATTAGAGTTTACTATAATTGAAATGATACTTAATTAATATTATTATGTACATTGTAAATTTCTTTAAAATTGAAAATTAATTTCAATGCTTTGTTTTGTCGACTTTACAACAAGCCATTCGATCAAGGTATTCCTTTTTATTTTTTAGATGCTTTTGTTATTGCTATTATGATATCAACTATTATTAATTTTCTTTATTCTGATATTATGAAGGGCCATGGAAACTGTTATCAAAGAACACAATCTTGACATTGAAAATCTGATGTCGTCCCGCCTTCCTTTGGCTGCTGGATCACAAATTGCAGATTCTGCATCTTCACAAGTACCTGGTACAATAATTGATCTTTACCTCTTCGGCAACATCTGGAATATATTTGAACATCTAGATAGAGCTTGGTTTGTTTTGTAATGCTGTTGGAAAAAAATTGTGCTTAATTCAATTTGATGCAGGCTCTTCTCAGAGGATTGGAGCTGCGAAAGACTCCAAATCCAGCTTTTCAGGAAATGAGATGGGAACTCCTGAGACATATGCCAGGGTACATACTGGTGCAGGAAGTGGGGGGCATGACTTGTATCAAGGGTCTACAGCACACATAAGTGGTAAGTGGCAAGTCACTATCACTCGGTTTTAATTTTAATCAACCTTTCTAATAGTTAGTTTGAGCTCCGGACTACATGATAATTCATAAATGGAAAAACTGTTGATTTTTTACAACTGCGGCGAATCTGAGTATTGCAAGACAGTTACAAAAGGTGAACATTGTAGAAAAATCAGGCATGCCAAGGCTAACTATAGGTGAAAAATTGAAAGGTCATAGCGTTTTTTAGGGCTCAATTGTGATGAAGTAGCTAAATTTTATCCTGTTACCTGAATGCATGTAGCCTTTCCTCTCATTTTTCTTTATGGCTTGGACGGAAAGAAGTGATAAAATAAGATTCGAAAAGAAAGGGTTTGGAATAAAAACTTCTTCTTTCACTACTCATAGAAGCCTTGTTGCTCAATTTGGATGGGAAGTATTTTCCTCTCTTTTCCTTCATAATTCCTGAGTAGCCATTATATTTTCTCTGTGGAGCTCTTTTAACTATGCCTTTGTAGGTTATACAAATAAAAACACAAATCCTATTGTAATGACTAGATGTAGTCTTGCTTGCACATTGTGCACACGTTTCTGCAATTACTTGTTTATGCCTCGTGTAATATTATTTCTTGAAAAGCTACTGTTGGAAGGAACACATACTGCACAAACTATCATAGGTCAGAACCATATTATCCCACATGGCTTTATCTATTTCGTCAGGAGAAACATTCTACTTTTTAACATTTCCTTGTAAATTTGGATCTTCCTTTAACTGGATAGCTTCATTGCGTGCAGTGGATTTTTTTGGTGATGTGGATTGTGGAACAATTGTTTCAGGTGGTTCAGTTAAGGTTCATGGGGCTTCATCAGGTGCTCCGGGATCTTACTTATCTGCTGAATCAGCAAATAGGATGCAGTATGCTACTTCTTCCTTTGATGGGCATGGTTTTGCTGCAAAACCTCAGAAGGAGAGAAACATGGAAGTATATTCTTCTGTTCCTTCGGGCGATCATTCTGCAGGCAAAAGTATAGCTGGGAAGTCAATGGATCATGGAGGACCTAGTATGGCTGCTAATGGAAATAAGGTACTGGCAAAATAATTTTTTAAACTCAACTATTTTACTGAGTTTTTGTGCATTGTAGGATTTGGGGTCTGTTTCTTTTCAGCCTGGATTCGGTTTGGAGGATTGGGTTTTTTTTATTAAAATAATATTTGATGTGATGTTTTGTGAGAAGAAAAAGTGTATTTTTTCGGGAAAACGATAGGGTCCAAATAGTAAAAATAAGCGTAGAAACTGAAAAGAAACAGACCATCTTTTACCACTCTCATGCAAAGCAATTCTTTAATTTATTACTGAGTTTTCATTTGTGGCTTTATCTTGATAGAGTGGCTTTACAAGCAACCACTCTGAGGCAAACGTGCTTAGAACTACTGCTTCTAGGGATACCGGCAAATCTCCTGTTTCTCAAGCATCTGCTGCTACAAACCTTCCTTTCAAGGAACAACAATTGAAACAGCTCAGAGCACAGTGCCTTGTGTTTCTGGCTTTCAGGTGGTAGATATTATATCATGTTATGTTTTTCCATCACCAGAATTATCTGCAGCAACTTTCTCTTGACAATAATGCTGCTTTTCATGTGCAGAAATGGCTTGATGCCCAAGAAACTCCATCTTGAGATTGCACTCGGAAACATTTACACCAAAGAAGGTATATATTTTATTATATTTTTCTGGTCATTACTCGTTGAAATTGGCTAGTAACTTTGCTTTCTGCAGATGGAGCTCGCAAAGATCTTACTGATCAGAAAGCCAGGGAGCAATTTGTTCATGACCCAAGCAGTAAGGCTCACCCGCCAATCTTGGACTCTGGTTCCTCTAAAGAAGTTGATCTTGCCAAGATGACAGATGAGAGGGTTGGCCAGCCTTCTATCCAAGCTGACACTGAACATGACAAGAAAAAATTACCAACAATATGGAAAACAGATGCTGAAATTCTAACACAGCAGGGTATAGAGTTTCACGAATCTGTTAGAAGGGAACCACAAGATTCAAGCACTAGAGAAGTATTTAACCGTAATCATGAAGATGGGAACAACCACCAGCTCACTAATTCAGCATCTGCAGCTTCACAACCAAAACTTGAGGCGAGCGGTGGCACTGGAAGTGGTATTGCAAATGATAACCCTAAGGCATCATTACCTTCAAATTTTGTTACACTTGAAACAATGCTACACAGAAAGGATGATATGCCAAGTCAGGCACAGAGTCATGGTGATTCCAATGCTATAGGAAGGTTACAATCTGTTAAGGGATTGTCAAACTTTCCATTGAAAGATCAGTGGAAGCCTGTCCCAGGAATAGGTAGCCAAAATTACCCAACAATAGCAATGAAGGATTCTAATACATTGCTAAAAAATGTTTTGCCAGGTATGCAATGGTTGTTTGGTTTTGCTTGAGAGTCATGATCAATGTTCTATTGATTTTGGGTTTGAAATGTATAAATTGGTGTTTCTTCTCCTGCTATTAGACTGAAACTCTAAATGTGTTTTCATTGTTAGGCACAGAACTGGAAGATGGCTATGCTTTGATATCTACTGACATACAACCTTCTCCTAAGCATTCTACTGTAGAAAGATGGATCTTGGACCGACAGAAGAGAAAAGCTGTTACTGACCGGAATTGGGCTCAAAAACAGCGGAAAACTCAACAAAAAATTACTACTTCCTCTGAGAAGCTGAAGGTTGGTAGAATTGATGTTATAGGGCAGGTGTTCATTGTTCAACTTTGGGGAAGTGTCTTTACGGGTGTGTTTGTTTCGGGGGTTGGATTTTGGTTTGAGATTTGAATAGTAATAATTTTGAATTTGAATAGTTGTATGATGTGATATAAATAAGTATTGATTTGATGTTTTGAATTTAAAATTGATTTTTAGTATGTTATAAAAAATGGAAGTATATGTTCGATTGATGTTTTTTGGGGAGATTTTTTTGATAAATAGTACAATTTAGTAATGTGTGATAAAAGAACACATCCTACGAGTTCTTTAGCATATCAGGTGGACTTTTGTTAGTTGAACTTGACTTTTATGCAGTAACACACAATTGTTATAGGGCAGGTGTTCAATGTTAGGGAAGTATCTTTACGAGTTCTTTTGCATATCAGGTGGACTTTTGTTAGTTGAACTTGACTTTTATGCAGCAACACAACAATTGTGATATTTTTTGTTCAAACAAAGTACAGTTTAAACATTTCATAATTTTTACATCCAAGTTTCCTTTTTTTTTTAAATCTCTATGCTATGTTACATCATTTGATTAATGGCTGAAGCTCGCATGTTAGTTTATTTATCAACCTTTTGTAATTCTCTCCCTTTTGCTCTTACACCACTGTTTTCAGCGTGTGCTTGCTTTATGCTACAGTTCCCAATTGACTTTGGCCTCTTCTTTAAGTGGTTGTGTTGATTTCTTTGCATTGTATTGTAGGAAATTGTAAGCTCTTCTTTAAGTGGTGGTGTTTTCTTTGCATTGTATTGTAGGGTATTGTAAGCTCTTCCGAAGATCTTTCTGCAAAAACTAAAAGTGTAATTGAATTAAAAAAGCTTCAGTTGTTGGAGTTGCAGAGACGACTTCGGAGGTTATATATATCTTTCTGGCCTTCAGATTGGGTTCCCTTGATTGTTGCATGACTTTCAGTATTTATCAATTTTTATTCTGACTGTTCAAATATTTTGGTGCAGTGATATCTTAAATGATTTCTTTAAACCGATAGCCAGTGAAATGGACAGATTAAAGTCAATTAAGAAGCATAGAATCGGGAGGAGATCAAAACAAATTGAAAGATATGAGCAGAAAATGAAGGAGGAGCGGCAAAAGAGAATTAAAGAAAGACAGAAGGACTTCTTTAGTGAGATAGAAGTTCACAGGTAGTTTGTTTACACCTCCTCTCTTCCGAAGAAGTTTGCATAAGTTGCTTGCTTTTCCTTTTATCTGGTATTACCTTTATTAATTAACAAATAACGTGATGACTTTTCATGACACATCAGAGAAAGATTGGAAGATGGATTTAAAGTGAAGAGAGAGCGCTGGAGAGGATTCAATAGACATGTAAGAGAGTTCCACAAAAGAAAGGAAAGGTTTCATCGTGAGAAGATAGACAGGATTCAGCGTGAGAAGATTAATTTGTTAAAAATTAACGATGTTGAAGGGTATTTACGCATGGTTAAGGTAAGTTGAGCCTACATAGACTCAATTCATGAAATTTAATGCTGGTTTCATGTTTTGATAGATATTCCAATATTCCTCTAGGATGCAAAATCAGACCGTGTTAAGCAACTGCTGAAAGAAACTGAAAAATATCTCCAAAAGCTTGGGTCCAAACTAAAGGATGCTAAGTCAATGGCAAGACAATTTGAGAAAGAGATGGAGGAGAATGAGGGTGGTTTTGTTGAGGAAAGTGAAGTTGCTGTTGAGCACGACGATGACAAAGATCAAGCCAAGGTTTATTTTTATGTTAAAATATTATCTTTAAGCTATCTTTTAATTAAGCAGTTGGATGGATTGTAGAATTGCTTTCTTAGCTTGTCGCACATCTTCTGTTCTCCAGCATTATTTGGAAAGCAATGAGAAGTACTACAAGATGGCACATAGGTAATCCAGTTTTTTATTTTATTTTATTTCCATATATATATACTGTGTATGTATTACTAGTGCAAAAAATGCATTAATGTTGATTCAAGTTCACAATCAGTTTTTGTTTGACTTTTAGTTCTTGTTTATCTTTCATTGAATTGTTGTCTGTTGGCTCATGTTTTGTATTTACTCATTGGATTGTTACTTCTTTCTGCAGTGTAAAAGAGAATATTATTGATCAGCCAAACTGCCTTGTAGGTGGAAAACTGAGAGAGTGAGTGATGCTTCTTATCCCTGTTTTGTCTTGTCCATTTCTTGGAATTTGTGGATTTGCCTGCTTTCTAGATGATGATCATTTAGTGAAGACTTTATCATCAATTCAGTATACGTACAATATCAATTGCATGAGCATTCTACTTTTCCTTGCATTATGAACATTCCATATTGTGGTTTATGAAGGTATCAAATGAATGGGCTAAGGTGGCTGGTTTCACTTTACAATAATCATTTGAATGGCATACTAGCAGATGAAATGGGCTTGGGTAAAACTGTTCAGGTATGATAATTTAACCTGAAGATTATAATTGCTTGATTATGCTCATCACATCAGCTTATGGTTTTTGCACAATTTTATTTGGTCTATTCTCTTTTAGGTCATTTCTCTAATCTGTTACTTAATGGAAACAAAGAATGATAGAGGGCCATTTCTTGTGGTTGTACCATCTTCTGTTCTACCTGGATGGGAATCAGAAATCAATTTTTGGGCACCTACTATACACAGAATTGTGTATTCTGGCCCCCCAGAGGAACGCCGAAAGCTGTTCAAGTAAACCCTGCTGATTTTGCTGCTGATCTTTTAATTCCATTTGTTGCTGTAAAGTTTGTGCAATTTATGGGTGGATCATTATTACAGGGAGCAAATTGTTCATCAGAAATTCAATGTTCTTCTGACAACATATGAGTATTTGATGAACAAGCATGATCGGCCAAAGCTATGTAAAATACAGTGGCATTATATCATTATTGATGAAGGTCATCGTATTAAGAATGCTTCCTGCAAGCTCAATGCTGATTTGAAACATTACCGAAGCAATCATAGATTGCTTTTGACCGGAACTCCTTTGCAGGTCTCATATTTGCTAATTAATCAGCTTTTGCACTACTTCTGCTTCTTACCAAACTTGAACATTTGTTGCTTGCATATTTAACTTTGTTCTTAGAATGATTTTGAGTACCATCATTAACCACGTATTGTGGTTTTCCATTTTCTTCTCTCTTTTTGATGTTTGACAGAACAATCTTGAGGAGCTATGGGCACTGCTTAACTTCTTGTTGCCAAATATCTTTAACTCATCTGACGACTTCTCTCAATGGTTCAATAAACCTTTTGAGAGTAATGGTGACAATTCGCCAGATGAAGTGAGTTATGAAGTGTCCCTTACAAATGAGATAAGTCTTGTTTTCCTTCTTAGTAACTCACTCATTTTAACTTAAATATGAAATATGACCAGGCTTTACTATCTGAAGAGGAGAATCTTTTGATTATAAATCGTCTTCACCAAGTTCTACGACCATTTGTACTGCGAAGATTGAAACACAAGGTACTATAACTATGACAAGAGAGAGAGTGTGATGGTGTAGAATGATCTATTAAATACAAAATTGTTATTTCCATACATAACTTTTGTCTAATCCTTCAAGGAGATTATAATTACCCATGAATTAGTCAGAGGACTGTTCTGGGCGTACATGCTACATGGGTGGAATAAAATCCATATTGGAAGATTGTTTCTATTTATTTTCATATACAATTTATATGATCTTATTAATGTAACAACTTGATCAGTAAGTTAGTTCTTTTGGAAAGTGTTTGGATTGCTTTTTTAATTTTGTGCGGATTGTGAGCCTGAAAAATATAGCACTGCATTTTCTATTTTAAGTAAAGTTTGATAATGAAATCAACATACTTCTGTCTACTGCTATTCGTTGCCAGGTTGAATGATGTTAAATTTTGGTTGAGATTACTTATGATCTGATATCAAAATATGCTTGTCCTAATCCCCTCATAAATTCATATGATATGCCAGGTTGAAAATGAGTTGCCTGAAAAGATAGAGAGACTTATTAGATGTGAGGCTTCTGCATATCAGAAGCTGTTGATGGGGCGTGTTGAAGCCAACCTTGGTGCTATTGGAACTTCAAAGGTCTTTATGTTGTAATTTTTAGATTTATCTCTGCCTTACATTTTTCAGCATATATCTGTGTTTATGTATGTTCTGCTGTACAAGCAACCAAATGGTACCATACATGTTCTGCCATACTGCATTTACAATAGTTTGGTCTAACCCTTGTTGGTGAGTTTGTGTATGCATATGTTAATATTTTCCTGTATGTAGCACTCTCATGCAGAGTATGGTGTGTTGAGCTTTAGCTTGTACTCATCTCTTATACTAAGAGCTATACCTTGAATTATATGCTTACTGTGGTTATTCACCTTTCTTCTTCCATTTCATGTGCAACTTCACAGGCTAGGTCAGTACATAACTCCGTGATGGAACTACGCAATATATGTAACCATCCATATCTCAGTCAACTTCATGTCGATGAGGTATTTATGTCTTTTTGGTTATTACTTTCTGCTTATTGAATCATTTGAAGCAGGAATTTGGTAAAATTTTCTATTATTTAGTTACTTTCAATCTATCATTCCTTCTATGCTTCTTTCTAATTAAGTGCAGTGTAGAAGTTTTACTTCATAGTTGCTTTTATCCTGCTTTTAAATCGTAATAAGTTTCATTATAAGTTCAATTATAATACATCATGCGGATGGTGTTGATTAGGAATGCTGATGTACTGGAATGTGGTTTGTTTTGATTAGGTTCATGACTTGATTCCAAAGCATTATCTTCCCAATATTGTGAGACTCTGTGGGAAGCTTGAGATGTTGGATAGATTGTTACCCAAACTGAAGGCAACTGATCATCGGGTATGATGTTCTTCCCTACCCCTAGCTTTATACGTTCTTATTACAATCATATTTTATGTTTTTGTATCAAGTTGTGTTGTTCTTGTTATTTGCATTGGTGATACTTGAGGAATCTGATCAAGCTGTTCAATGGTTAGAACTTCAATAATTATCACTATTGCATTTTGTTCAGATCTCCTATGTATTTGGGAGTGTAGTTTATTTGCTCTGGGTTGAAAAATATATGTTCAATAATTGTTTGTTGTCTTCTTTATTAGCACTGTAGTTATTAGGTTTACCATTTCCTGTTAGATTTTTATCTTACTGTTAATCTTATTTTAATTCTAATGTGTCATTGCAATTATGGGTTTCTCTACATGTATGCCTGTGCATGCATGTAAGAAAGAGTTCATGGTGTTTTAAGGCTTACATCGTTGTAAAGTCTATTTTAGCAGTGTGTTTTCTTTCTTCTTCAAGTTTGTGATAGCGACTTAAAGAAAGATAGGGGAATGAAATGGTGGTTTCTAGATGTTCTCTACAATATTGACAAAATAACTTATCAGTTGTATTTCGTTTTGCTCTACTTGATGCCTTCCCTTAACTTCACTTCAGTTTTCCTGCCATTTCTGTGGGTATTGAACTTTCATGTTTTGACTGCCGCAGCTAGTTATCTTCATTTTAATTGCTGTCATTGGGATATGTCTGCATGGTGCTTTTTTGTTTGTCTCCAAAATATCGATCAAATTTCTCATCTTTTTGGCTGTAATTTGGATATTTCTATATTTTGGACATCATTCACAAGCTTTGTTTTTGTTTTTCAGGTACTTCTCTTCTCAACAATGACCAGACTACTTGATGTTATGGAGGACTATCTAATTTGGAAACAATATCGATACCTCCGATTAGATGGACATACATCTGGTGGCGATCGTGGTGCTCTCATTGAACGGTTCAATCAACCTGGTTCTCCATATTTTATATTTCTACTCAGGTATTTGGAACTTTAATGCCATTTTCTGCTCTTATAGTAATGCTCATCAAGCTCTGATCTCAACAAAAGTAATCTCACATGCGAGACGAGATGGCACACTACATTTCACTTTCATGGGGTAGACGGAGTACAGCTGATACAATTTAAGGGACTTTGTTGTCAAAATTGGAAGGGTGAACTATCCATATCTTAGATGCTGTAGTGTCCATCACAATATTTATCCCGTATATTGCTACTTGTGTCCTTATAACATGACTAGAGTTGGGAATGAGTCTATTTGTGTTGGGTTCGTTTTGGTTGAATGCTTTAAACGAGTTAAGTCACTCAATCCTAACCTAACTCGTTTATCGGGGTTGTGTTAATCCGTTTATTATTGCGTCGGGTTCGTGTTAACCTGTTTATTATTGTGTCGGGTTCGCGTGGACCCCCATACATAATTGGGTCGAAATCTTGATTCAAATATAGTTATTTTTTGTCGGATTGTCGTGTTATGATAGCTTTTGTTGGTTCTAGTATAATGTGTATAGAAAATTAGGTTGAATTATTTAAAATTACATTTAATTTAAATTAATGTGGGCTAACTATCAATTAGATTTGTTTTACATATACAATAAATATATTATAATCGGGTTGTTGTGTCGGGTTCGAGTTGAGAGCTTCAACTCTAATCCGACCGTTTATTATCGTGTCGGGTTTGTGTCAACCTATATATATATAATCGGGTTGAAACTCTTGACCTAAACCCAGTTATTTCTGTGTCGAGTTATCGTGTTGTGTTAGTTTTTGCCAACTCTAAACATGTCATAGTATTTGTATGCCATATAATGCCATTATTTTTAAAGTGAGAGTTGATCCTTCCTTATAACACAATATATTGTTGAATTTTTATTTATATCTTTTTTACACTGAATTTCTGCCTTAACCCTTGACAATTTGTCTTCTAGTATTCGAGCTGGAGGTGTAGGTGTGAACCTCCAAGCTGCTGATACCGTGATTATTTTTGATACGGATTGGAACCCCCAGGCAATATTCCTGCAGCATTCTTCTCAATAAATTGTGAATCTAGTGAACTCTCATGTGATCTTATTTTGAAAATCGTTGATATTTTAGGTGGATCTGCAAGCACAGGCTAGAGCTCATAGGATTGGACAGAAGAAGGATGTGCTTGTTCTTCGCTTAGAAACTGTACATTTCTGTTCTCAGTATCCTGACATACTCCTTTTACTTTGTATTCTGCTATTATTAAGAAACTATCCTAAACTGATTTTTATTTTGTTATCTTGTTAATATATCCATTATGTGGTGATGGGACTTTTCAATGTTAATTTGTGGTGTTTGTATCTGCTCCTATCTTTAATGTCTGTGTTGGTTGACATAAACAAGAAAGTAACCCTCTCTGAAGTTTACTTTTAAAGATTGATAATGAAAACCAAAGATCTATATATTGCAGTGAACAAAATATATATTTCAGACCAAAAAGTGATGGAAGGCATTCCTTATGGAATAGTAGTTGCCATCTTTGTATTTTTACTTTGACCTTTATTTTTTTTAGTTTTTGTGTCATGTTGCTGGAATGAGACTTCTGTATGATATAGTTGATGTTGGATGTATTTCTATTGATTCAAGTCTATTAAATATCCTTTGTTGATACATTTTAATTGCTTGTTTATTACCCAAAAAAAAAAAAAAAAAAACCGATAGCATGATATATGTTGAAAGCCTTTTATGAATTCATGAGTGTCCAGTCATGGCCATTCTCTCTAGTATTCCTCTGTATCAATATGATAGTGGTGAGTAATAAAACAATCTTCCAGTCACACAGAATAGCATGAACTGATGCCTAAATTAGACTGGTTTGGATTTGTTTTATAATTTGTACAACTTGAATAAGAGTTCTTCAATCATTTTGGACATAATCGTTTCACTGTTTGCCAGGTTCAAACTGTGGAGGAACAAGTCAGAGCCTCTGCTGAACACAAACTTGGGGTTGCCAATCAGAGTATAACCGCAGGGTTTTTTGACAATAATACGAGGTATGCAATGGTGAAAACAATCAGTGATCTGGTATTTTGTTACACTTGTGCTGAATATAATTTTTCAATGTTCACTAGTGCGGAAGATCGAAGAGAATACTTGGAGTCACTCCTGAGGGAGTGCAAGAAAGAGGAAGTTGCACCTGTTCTAGATGATGATTCTCTAAATGACATTATAGCTCGCAGGTACTTGTTATTTTTGTTAATTTATTCATTTATTTTGTGGGGAATTCTATGTTATGGTGTCTAATGTTATTGAACAGTTAACTCTCATGAATGTACTGGATATATTGGCAGAATAGGGGTATTGATGTTTCTTAAAATCAACTTAGATATGTGGATCTAGCTATAGCATTGCAACGTAATTTAATGATTCACTAGTGAGGCAGTTCAAGTTTCCAATAAATTAGGAGGGCTCTGAAAGAAAGAGCTCTGATATGATATTCTGATTCATTTATGTGTAATATTTTAGACCTACTGAATCAGTTTATGAACCTTTATGAGTTAGCGGAGCCAATGTTACAACAACAAAAATTTGGAGGTCTTGGATCCTGAAATGTAGAAGCTTTGCCTCTTGAGTGCTATGTTACACGTAGTTCTTGCTAAACAAACTCAAGATATGAATCTGTTAAGTCTCTTCTTTTGTTTTTATCTTATCACTTTCTGTTTTTCAATGTCTAGAATGTGACAAGTGCTACGAAAGGATCATTAGATTCTGATCACCTCTTTTATTTTTTTATACTAAATTTTCTGCTGGGAAGAATAGTGAATTAATCAATTGGAAAAGTGAATTCTCAGATGTATAAAAAACGCAACTCTTAATAACATTTTGAAAAATTTTCAATGTAAGTGTCCTAGACATGTAGCATATATTGAGGGTGTGTTTGTTTGGGGGTTTGGATCTTGAGTTGGGTTTTGAATAATAAAAATTTTGAATTTGAATAGTTGTATGATGTGATATAAATAGGTGTTGATGTGATGTTTTGAATGCAAAATTGATTTTTAGTATAACATAAAAAATAAAAAATATGTGTTTGATTTGATATTTTTGGGGGAAAAAATAGGATGAATAGTTTATTTAAAATCCAATCCCCCAAACAAACACACCCTATATTTCCCTAATTTTACTGTGTAATGAAATGCCTAATTGTTGCTCATGTTTCTTTTTGGTTGGTGGATACACAGTGTCCGCAAACCACACATTTTCTTTTCTTTTTCATTAATCCAAATTCACTAATTTCATTATTTTCAATTTTACATTAGTGTCTCGTCTTATTAAATTGTAATTTCAATTTCTATTCAGTGAGTCAGAAATTGATATATTCGAGTCTGTTGACAAGCAGAGGCGTGAAGATGAGATGGTATGTGCCAAATGCTAGATATGTTGTACTTTTGTTTTTTTCCTCTAGTTATGTTCGAAACTGTTTATTTCTTTAAGTTTTTAAAAGATCTCTATCGAATTGTGCAGCTTGCGTGGCAAAATATGTGGGGTGGGAAAGGACCAGAAAAATGCAAGCAAATACCTCCATTACCTTCAAGACTTCTAACAGATGATGACTTGAAATCATTTATTGAGGTAATGAAGATCACGGAAGCACCAGCTCCTGGTTTATTACCCAACACTGGGATGAAGAGAAAGGGTGGTTCTCTTGGAGGCCTTGATATGCAACAATATGGCAGGGGCAAACGTGCTAGGGAGGTATATTTCCGTTTGAATATCGTAGCCTGTGATTCACCATTCCATCTTCCAATTTACTGCTGGATTGTGCAATGAATCTTTGTTGAAATTCTGTTGTTTACCCTTTTAGGTTCGCTCTTATGAAGAGCAATGGACAGAAGAAGAATTTGAAAGAATGTGCCAAGTTGAGTCTCCTGATTCTCCCATGATAAAGGAAGAATTTTCTGGAAAAACATTGGCAGTAGCTGGTCAAAGCTCACTCTCAGTCATTGGGGAGATGCAGGAACCAGCCTTGCCTCAACACCCCCAGCAGCCTAGTGCGGGTCCCCAAGTGCTGCACAACAAGGAGGCTACACCACCTTCGAAACGGGGGCGGGGTCGTCCAAAGAGAGTGGTTGAAACCTCTTCTCCAGTTCCTTCTCCTGTGCCAACTGGAACGGTAAAGGTTGAAGAGGTCACCAAGGTTGAAACTACACCTGTGGTGCCTGATCCTGATTCTTTGGCGGGTACTGATGTTAATAGTACTACTGAGGATGCTCCTGTGTCTGGGTCAACCATTGCTCCAAATCCTGAACCAAATGTATTTCCACCAATGATTCCAACTCCTCAAGCTGCTGTGTCCCCTCCATCAACTGGGCGAGGTAGAGGACGAGGCCGAAAATCTCAAATAGGTGGAGAAGGTCCCAATTCCAGGCGAAGAGGCAAAAGGCAGACTGCAATATTAACAAATGCTCCATTATCTCCCTCACTGCAACCCACTGACAAACCACCAACTGAAACACAAGGAGAGCTAGCCTCTAGTTCTGCAGTAGCTGCAAGTTCTGATTCTGTTTCAGTTAGCAGCAATGTTGTTAAGGAAGTTCGCAATGAACCAAATATTGCTGCACCTGCTAATGAACTATCCACACCATCTGTCCTGAGCAATGTTGATGCTGGATCACAACAGGAAATCACAGCTGGAACTTCAGCTATGTCTGGTGCTGCCTTAGGTGCTGTTGTGCCTGTGCCCAATGTTGTCCAGGCAGATGCTGGGACAATACCTGCTTTGAGTACCCAAGCTGCACCTGCATTACTTTGTGGTGTAGCTGTTTCTCCGTCAGTTTCTGATCCTTCTCTGGCAAAGCCAGGCAGAGGCCGAGGTCGTGGACGAGGACGGGGTCGTGGGCGAATTCCTAATGAAGAGCCACCTCTGCGTAGGCGAAGGAAGCAAGAGTCTGTGGCATCCTTTGTTCCTGGTGCAGTATCAAGCCTGGATCCTGAAATTACTGAATCTCCACTTAAGAAACCCCGCGTTTCTATAGGACAGGACACCACTGCTCAAAATGCTTCAGATCCTTCTGCTGAACAAGCTCATGCAGGTAGGCTTTTGTTCTTTCAATTATATACACGATAATTTTTTAGTATTATTATTATTATTATTTTAATGCTGATTTCCCTATTTTTAGTTTTTGCAGTTTTTACTGTTAGAATCAAATCATTTCATCACTAGCATAAAAAGTAACTGATTGAATTTCCTGATAGAAAAGTATAATAAATTTGGGTGCATTAGAAGCTGAATAATATGAAGAGTAGCTCTATGGAGTTGAAAAATATGCAATTGTGTAATATTCTATCTACAATAAGCCACAAACTCGACTCTAGGGTAAGTAGAATGTTAGGGGGATTAGTTTCACTTATCTCGGTGCAACTATATCACTAACATTCATGTTTGGTACCATAGAAAGTGTTGAAAGATTATTTTTCTTGGTTAAATTACTTGTTTATTTATTTTTAATTTTGTTGTCACTGAACGAGAGTTCTGTTTTAATAAATGTTTGTTGAAGGATGATAGTGCTAGCAGATAAGTGGAATGCCGGTGCTGACATAGTATAATGTGCTTTCTAGGGTCTATGTTGATAGTTTAATTTAGTTCTTGGATTATAGTTGAGTTAAATGATTACTTGTTGTATGGAAAATGCCAATGATGATATTACTGGACACTCATGCAATTTAGACAGTGCTTTCTAAATTTTAATTATCATAATAACATTGAGAGCATAGACTACTGAAGCACTCTGACACATCTTACATATGTAAGTTTATACTTTTATAAATTCATTCAACCATGTAACAGATATGAAATTTTCCTCACTTGATGTTTTCTGTCGTAGATGTATGTTTCCATATAAAAGTTCTGAAGTTTATAACAATTAAATTTATAATTTCCTTTCAACTGTTTGCTCATTCACTTGCAAAATGTTCCTCTCTCTGGATACTCTTAGCACAAAATTTACGTGTGTATGTTGATGGATAAGCTATTGATATGAAACATGTGGTTGCAGGCTCTTCTAGAGTTACTGATATTGATGAAAGGAAGTTTGAAGATCCTCCTCCAGGACAAGATGCAAATGAATGGAAAGGCGATGATGATGATGATGATAAAGTCCTTGCACCAAAATCTAATGTTTCTGACAAGTCATCATCTTTTTCAGCATTGGATTCAGAAGTTAGAACATTGAGTTCTACACCTACAGCGTTAGAGATTCAATCTGCAAAGGAAGGTGAAGGATCCAATAATAAGAATGAACCTACTAACAAGGGTGCACTTGGGGTTGTATCTATTGATAACAATAATGGATCAGAAGATTCTAAAACTCAACTGCAAATCAAGAAAGATTCTGTTGAGTTAGACAAATCCCAAGATTTAAATAGCGATGCTGTGAAGGATGCAAATGAATCTGGATCAATGCCTCTTGCTGATGATAGTGGCAAGTCTGATTCCCTTGAACCTGCCAAGAGTCCTTATCAAGATGAAGCTTCTGTGTTAGATAATGCATCGAAGGAAGGCACAGATGGTGTTCTTCTAGATTCTGTCCCTAAGTTATCTGAAAGTGAAACTGTTCAAGGACCTGCAGATTTACTTCCTTTACCAGCATCAAGTGAAAGCCCAGTTGAGATGGCCAAACACCATGATCAATCTAATGATAATGTTGAGGCTGAATTGGCTGAGCAATTAATAACTGTATCTGGTGATAGTGGAAAGTCTGATATTCCTGGTGAAGCGGAAGGGCGCAATATTGCTGAGCCTTCTAAGTGCCCTAATCTGGATGCTATCTTAGCAGAGGGTGCAACAAGTGAGATTTCAGAAATAGAAAATACTGAACAAGATTCTGGGGACAAAGGGTTTGGTTCAAAGCCTGATGAAGCTGGTTTTGCAGGTATCTGTGCAGAAACCTTAGAATTGGCTGTGGGTTCAGATCTGAAAGAGATACAGAAACAAGATTCAGAAGATGATAAAAAATCAACAGTAGAAAGAAAAGATTGTTTCATCACCTCCTTGCCTAGTTCTGGAAATGGTGAGGTTATTGTAGGCAAAGTGGAGGAACTTCAAGAACAAGATTCAAAAGAGATAGGAAGTGAAGATCACTTGGCTGAAGAGCCTGCATCACAACATCAGTTGAGTGATAATTTGCCTTTAAATTCCACTCAGGAGCTAGTTCCTGCATTGGAGCTTTCAGTTTCCGAGTCTGATGTTCAGCCTGCAAAACATGAACAAGAAACGAAGGGGAGAGAGCGTGAAGATCACCAAACTGAAGTGCCTGCATCACAACCTAACATGTGTGCTGACTTGCCAATAAACTCAACTCTGGAGGTGGCTCCAGCATTGAATACTTCATCTCCCGTGTCTGGGGTTCTATCTGCAGAGGAGAAACAGCACAGTTGCATAGAATCTGACTCAGTCCTTGGTGCAGGGAGTTCTGTTGGTTCACTTCCTGACGCTGTTGAAGCACCTTCCAATACTTTGTCTGAATTGATTGTCAAAGAAACTATGATTACCACAAGCCAAGAGACAGGAATGGTTATTCCCGAAACTGCATCCCTCCCTGAACCCATAACTGTGGTTAAGGAGTCAGAATCCATGTGTCCAGTAACTAATGCTGAAGAAATGATTGAATCAGATGAATGTCCTACTATGGGTGAAGTGATGCCGCTTGATAGTTTGGTGGCTGGAGTTGCTAACCCCATCTCTGAGATACCTGAGAATCAATGTGATCGCGAATCTGAGCAACTTACTGCTGGTGAATGTGGAAACATCGGGCTCTGTTCGGGAGATTCTGTTTTAATGGAGGAAATTCCGGACCAAATTACCGAGGTACTTATTTCTGCAATTAAAAATCCAAAAATTTTAGGAGGAGGTGTGGACCATCCTTTTGAGAATTTTCTTGCAATTTTCTCTGTTTTGCTTTGTGATATTCTTCAATGACGACTCCCAGCATTTCTAGTTAACTTTGTGCAGGCTATAACGAGTTTGGTAATCAATGTATATGGTTAGAGAATTCCTCATATACTCTTAAGATAATTTAAAATTAACTAAATCAAGTTGCTGGCACTCACTTTCAATGATCTAACATTGTGGATGTTGATAAGTAGTAATTTTTATAATTTACATTTTAAAGAAGTTGATATGCTTGCTAGTGATTCTAGTTAGGTTTTAGAAGTATGTGAGTAAGCCAATCTATAGAAGCAAACTTTCTATTTTATTCAACTTTTTAGCTTAATTCAAGTTCAAATGAGTCAGATCTTCCATTTCATTTCATACTCTCTTTTCTTTATGAAGGAAAATGCTCCTGTTGAAGATCCCATTCTAGCAACCGAAGTTGTGTTTCAAACTGATGAAGGCTCCCTTGCGAGGGATAGTTTGTCTGAAGGAAGAGTGGATACAGACTCAGCGATGCATATGGACACAATTGAGAATCTATCTGGGGAATCTGCCGAAGAGCATGAAAAGGAAAATGCCACAGTTGAAGTTTCTGCCATGGTAACTGAAGTTGCAAGTCCAACTTTTGAGAGTGGTTTAGCACCCAATAATTCAGAGGTATGCGGAGGCATGAATGAATCTGATGAGCTTGGTGACGATCATGCAAAGGAAAATGCCCCGATTGAAGTTCCGGCTCCAGTGACTGAAGTGGCATCTGAGAATAAATCTGGTAAACCCTCTGATGATCATGCAGAGGAAAATGCCCCGATTGAAGATTCCACTCCAGTGACTGGAGCTGCATCTGATGATCTAGAGGTGGATAGGGACACATCTGAGAATGAATCTGGTAAACTTGCTACTGATCATGCTGAGGAAAATATAATGGATGAAGTTTCGACTCTGGTGCCTGGAGTTGCATCTCCAACTCTTGAGGTCTCCTCAGCACCTGATAATTTAGAAGTGGATAGGGACACATCCGAGACTGAATCTGGTAAACTTGCTGATGATCATGCAGAGGAAAATGCTCTGGCCGCTCCTGAAGTCTCCGTAGCACCCGATGATTCAGAGTTACATAAGGACACATCCGAGAATGAATCTGGTAAACTTGTCGATGAGCATGTCGAGGAAAATGCTTCCGGTGAAGTTTCCATTCCATCAAATGAAGTTGCATGTCCAACTAATGAAGGGTCTTCGGGCCCTTACAATTCCGAGGTACACGGGGAGGACATATGTGAGAATGAATCTGGTCAACTTGCCGATGAACATGCAATCGAAAATGCTTCAATTAAAGCTTCTACTTCATCAAAAGAAGCTGTGTGTCCAACTGTTGACGGCTCGTCTGTTCCAGATGATTTACCCGACACAATGGATATGGACTCTGAGCCACTCTTGGACACATCTGATAAAGAATCTACAAAGGAGAATGCTCTTGTTGAAAGCTCCACTCCAACTGACGACGAACCTATGGCTGAAAACACTGCAGAGCTACCTGGGGACGATGGATCTGTTAAAGAAATTATTCCACCAGATGTTTCTATTCCAATCACTGAATCTTCCATTGAGGCTCCCATGGATACATTAGGATCTCAAGAATCCCCCGATCATAAATCTGATGGAGATACAAATGCTGAGCAGGATGCGCCTGACGAAGCTCTGCAGCCTAATCCTGAAGACTCCATAGCAGCACCATCTCATGTAGCTGCAAGTACCATCTCCCAGATGCTTGGGGATATGTTCGGTAACGAATCTGGGAACCCGCCCGTTGAAGAACAAGCAGAAGATGCCCCCCCTGGTGAGGCCGCCATTTTCAATGCTGAAGAACATCCGACTGGGGAAGCTAATGCCAGCGTTGAGCCGACAACTGAAGGTGTAGAGGATGGCGGAGAGCCAGTCGACGAGTAGCAGCTGCAAGAGCAGGAATGAAGTGCCGGTTCCCGATGCTGATGCTGATACTGATTCCGGGAACTTGGTTTGAAGCTTCCCATCTCTTGATGTGGAGATGTTTATGTATACTGTGAAACTACATGAATGTCAATCTCTTAAGAATTGTTAAGTTTATGCTTGTGCTATATATACACAAGAAACTATGCCATTAGAATAAGAACCAATCATCTCAGCCTCAGGTGATCAAGGATTTTATATATATGCATTGAGATGTTGCTCCTAGGACATCGCCAAATAAATCGAACTGAACTGCTTAATTGAACTAAACCGACCCGAATTTTTGGTTAATCGAGATATGGTATTTATTCGGTTCGATAGATATTTGTTTGGTTTGATTTAGATTTTTTATTATTTTTTCGGTGAATATAGTCATATATTTATATTATTATATTTTAAATTTTATATTTTGAATTATATTTGAGTTCGAATATTTGAAATATTTGCAAATAATTTTATTTAATTTTAATAATTTTTTAATGTATATATATATATTTTTTTCAGTTTGTTTTGAATTGTTTGGTAAATATTTAGAGTAGTTTTGTTAATCAAAAATTTTTATTCATATAAATACCAAATAATCCATCAGTCCACTCCGTGGGCGGCACGGCACAAAACGTTTTGTTTTTTTATAAAGTTTAAAAATATTAATATTATATTTAAACGTGCTATAAATAAAATAAAAAAACCAAAATAATAAATAAAAAATGGGATAAGTTATTAATACAGAACATAGTAATTTTATGTACCGCTGATTTTTCTTTTAAAATAATGATACAAAAACCGACAGACAACTCGAATCGGTCTTCACGATGAGAACCGGGTTCGTTAAAAACACCTGGACCGGACATTTGGACAATCCGGTTTAAAAACCATTGCTAAACCATATAAACCCTGGAAGAAGAATTTTCTACGCGGCTCCGAATAATCAAAATTCAATTCCTCCAATGGCTTCCAGATTCTCCTCGCGCCTCCTCCGCCATCTCCACGGCCGCCGCCAAATGTTCGCCGCCAATTCCCGACTGCTCGTCCCTCCGATTGCCGATTCTCCTTCCACAATCTCTCATACCTCTCCCTTCAGCCTCCGCTTTCTATCCACCCGCCCCCTCCGGCCGACCCGGGCCAAAAAGCCCGACATCGGAGCCCGAGCCCGGCAGCTCCAATCACGCCGCCTCTGGACGTACGCTCTCACCTTCAGCGGCGTCGCCGGCTTCATCATCATCGTCCTCTACCAATTCCAGGATCAGTTGGTCTTCTACGTCACCCCCACCGAAGCCCTAGATAAGTACAATTCCAATCCTTCCAAATCTCGATTCCGCCTCGGAGGCCTCGTCCTCGAGAACAGCGTCGCCGAGATCCCATACTCCCAGGAGATCCACTTCGTCATCACCGATTTGCTCACGGATATCCTGGTCAAGTACGAAGGAAGTTTGCCCGATCTCTTCCGCGAGGGTCACTCAGTCGTCGTCGAAGGATTCGTCCGTCCAGTCGTGGAGGAGATCAAGAAGAAAGAGGAGGCCAATTTGAACAGCAACAAATTGGGGGTTATGGCGAAAGCGAGGAATCTGGACTGCTATTTTATGGCCACCGATGTTCTCGCGAAGCACGACGAGAAGTACATGCCGGCGGAGGTCGCCGCTGCCATTGAGAAGAACAAGAAATTGATCGAGGAAGAGCAAAACAAGAAGGAAGAAGAAACCGGTACTTCTTAATTATCGAAGCCCTGTAGTTAAAGATCTTCTTAATTATTGAAAATTTTTGTATTGGTTGATTTACACCAACAACAATTCGATGAATTCTTTGGTATAGGATGAGAGAGAGATCAAACTTCACTCCATTTGACACGCATTGTTTTAGTGAGATTTCAATGGCGGCTCTAATAGCATTGCTTACAGTTTATGAACAATTAATTTGCCATGAATTAATAAAGTGTTCTTGATTGCTTGCTTGATATCTCTGTTGGGGTAATTTTAATGTTCTGTTTCATTACATTTCTTGCATTGCATAGTTAATGATAGAAAACTGGAAATTTTCACATTACATGAGTTGATGATTATCGATGCTTAGTTCTTTTTCATACTGTGATATGAATAATTGGGTCGAGAGTTATAGGAGCATTAGCCGTTATGTCGATGATGCTTTGAAGAGCATTAGTTTCCCCTCCCAAATAAGCCTTTAGAAATGCCACGACAATTCCCCCAGCCCCTCGTCTCATCTTTTGTTTCGAGTCCTTTCCACTCTTGCACACCAAACTTGCCAAAGCTGCTTTCGAATCATTCAATATATCGCAGTGGCCGTAATCCTTGGCAAGAAAGTAACAGCAGGGTGGCCTGCTCTCGTTGAAAAATTCAGCGTGGTTGAACCCGTTGGGCGCTAGGGGAGGAATTACGCCCTTAGCTTGACTGCTCAGGCCTGTGCCTATGATCCCAATAGGAATCGAGAGATTGAAAGAGTGTGGAACGTAGGAAAGAATGTTGGGTTCGACCCAAGTTGGTGGCTTAGGCCCCGAGACAGGGTCGAGCGCTAGTAATGCTTTGAATTTGAGCGCGGTCGGAGCATGTCCTAGTGCGAGGGCGAATGCTGTCTTACCGCCCCTGCTGTGGCCCATTAGGGCGAGCTTAGAGAGGTCCGGTTTCACATTTTTAGGTAGGGATGTTGCCAGCCCTGTCGACAGCCAATCTGCCACTTCTGCTGCTGTCTGGACTTCGTTGTTCAGGGAAACGAGCAGGCACTGGTAAAACTGTAGATAGAGCAATACATTATCAATTCATTTCGAGATATATATATATATATATATATCTCCTGTGAATTGATGTGCTATTAAGTGTTGAAAATTGGCAGATACCTGTGGCGCAACCACGATGTATCCATGGGAAGAGATGTGCTCCAGGAAGTGGGAATACCACGAGTTCTCGGTGCAGTAGCCATGGCAGAAGAGCAGGACTGGGTAAGTCCCTTCTGCCTGCGGCGCAACGAGAAGCAGCTGCGCGGGAACTTGTGATTTCTTCTTCTTCTTCACGTGGATGGTAATTGCTCCCTTATTTCCAGGCTCAAACAATGAGATAGGTAAATAAGTTTGATCATCATCTTGCTGTGCCATTGCTGTCTTGAATATGTGTTTGAACCAAGGATATGATATATGTATAGATATATAGAGAGAGAGAGGGATAAGTTAGTGGATTTGGAGTGAGAAATTGGGTTCAAAATGGAATAGAGAGTGGCCTTTTAACCAAGTTAGGAACTTTGAATACATACCCAAAGTCAAAAAAGAATGTGTGTTAGGCAATTGTTGCCTAAGATTGAATTAATGCATGATTGTTTTTTTCAAAAAATGATATACTATAAAATAAAATATTTTAAGAAGTAAAAAATAGAATTGTGAATTGGAGTGCTAACAATTGTAAATTTTGAATTAAAATTGTATAAATAAAATTTTTAGATTAAGAGAGAACATGTACGTTTAAGTGGGTGCACAACCTTCTAAATTATCATTATAAAATAAATAAATTACAATTATCTTTAAGTTCCACAATTATGCACAAACTGTAGTGTTTTGGACACTCAATATTTATTTCAACCATTTTCAATCATCAATCATTTGAGTTACAATCCAAATAAACAAGGGATGGGTTTAAAAAAAATAATAAAAAAATTGACTTACAAAATTACAATTCAAATGAAGAAATTGTTGAATTGATACCTAAATTGATAAGCTATATATTGTGTCGTATTTTAAATATTTTAGCTTCGTTCATGCAGTATTTTTGGATAAAACGATTTTTAGTATATGGTATAGAGAATTGGGTAAATAATATAAAATATAGTATTTTTTATATTTATTTTTGTAATGAGTATTTAATTTTTGAAATTTGTTTAAAATATTTTGTATTTATTATTATTTTTTTCAAAAGTCACAATTGAAAAATAAGTATTAAAAAAACATAGTGAAAATAAAATAAAATACAATGAATAATATTGTAAAAGTAACTAGAGTTTTGACCGAATATAAAATTAATATATTATATAATTAATTGTTATGACACATCATATATATTGATAGGTGTCATTTATTTATGTTGATGAATCACCCAAGTTTGATGACTAATGATTTTGTAAATTGTTTATAAATAAGCCCAAAATCTTGTGTAATAAAGGTGTGATTTTGATTTCATTATTACTTTGTCTCTCTATCGGCTCTCTCTCTCTCTATTCTCATCTCTATAAATTATATACATATACTCATATATATATACATATATATTATATATTATTATTATAGTTATATTTTGTTATATATTTTATAACACGTTATCAGCACGAGGCTTTGCCGAGGAAGTGCATATAAAGATAGCGTATATATATTTTTTTTGTTATTTTTGTTATATTACTCGGAAGGTTGCGGAAATTCTGGTAAGTATTTATTTTCTTTTAATTATGTCTAATATAGCAAAGTTTGAATTTCCCCCACTGGCAATTACTGGAAATAATTATATGCCGTGGGTAATGGATGTCGAAATGCATCTCGAATCCATGGGGCTTTCGAAAACAATAATTAGTAAAAATGAATGCACAAATCAAGAACGTGCAAAGGCAATGATTTTTCTGCGTCATCATATTGACGAAGTCCTAAAAATGGAGTATTTAATGGTGAAAGATCCATTTGAATTATGGACAAATTTGAAAGATCGATTTGGACACTTGAAATCTGTTATATTACCGAAAGCGAAACATGCATGGCAACACTTGCGATTGCAAGATTTTAAAACAGTTGCTGATTATAATTCCATGATGTTCAAAATCACGTCCCAATTAAGATTTTGTGGAGAAAATATTTCTGATAGGGATATGTTGGAAAAAACATTTACCACGTTTCATGCCTCTAATATAGTTTTACAGCAACAATATCGAGAAAGGGGTTTTAATAAATATTGTGATCTTATTACTTGTCTACTTGTTGCTGAACAGAATAACGAATTATTGTTAAAAAATCACGAATCGAGGCCAACTGGTGCGAGTCCATTCCCTGAAGTGAATGCGATTCAGTGTTTAAATAATATGCCTAGATTCTACCGCGGACGAGGTCGCGGACAAGGCAGTGGACGTGGATTTAGTCGTGGACGTGGATTTGGTCGTGGACGTGGAATGAGTCGTGGACGTGGAGCCGACCGTGGACGAGGTCGTGGCAGGTTTGTTTATTACCGTCAGGGATATTTTGATGAGCAGGAATCAAATAGGCCTATGAAGCGGCCTCAGAACGATATTGGTCAGAGTTCAAAGAAAAACGAGGATAAGTGTTATCGTTGCGGAATGGCAGGGCATTGGTTCAGAAATTGTCGTTCCAATTCTTATTTTGTTGAGCTGTACCAAAATTCCCTGAAACAGAAAGACAAAGTGCCTGAAGAAGTTCAAGCACCGGAAAATGTCAATCCTCCAGAAATTAATTTTTCAGAGAATGTTGCCAGTGGAAGTGGGGGTGATAAATGTAATGATAATACGCAATTAGATGTATCTGATTTTCTAGTACAACCTGAAGGTGGGTACTATGAAAATCCCGGAGATGCGATATAAATGCATATAGATATGTGCATATATATTTTTGTAACACATGTAGGTTTTGCTCCCGACATTTTGTAATGATATGACAGCTATGTATTTTTTTTCCAAAATTTTGATATATTTATTCTTATATTTCTCCCAGAAGAAGAAATATGAATGCTGAGCACGTTATAATGAATAATATGGAAGACAGTTCATGTCTCATTGATAGTGCATCAACGCACACCATTTTGAAATATAAGAAATATTTCACCAACCTGAAGTTGGGAAAAATTGAGGTGAATACCATAAGTGGTTGTGCGAAGTTAATTGAGGGCTCTGGAAGAGCGATAATATTTCTGCCCGAAGGAGTAAAACTTGATATCCAAAATGCACTATATTCTAGTAAATCTCAAAGAAATTTGTTGAGTTTTAATGATATTCGCAGAAATGGATATCATATTGAGACATCAAGTATGACAAATAATGAATTTTTGTTAATTACAAAATTCATTGATGGACATAAATATATATTAGAAAAATTGCCTTCATTGTCTTCCGGATTATATTGCACAAAGATTAATGTGGTTGAAACATATCTGGTGGACCAAAAGTCTACAAATTTTGTGATTTGGCATGACCGGTTTGGGCATCCTGGTAATACTATGATGAGACGAATTATTGAAAACACCAATGGCCATAACTTGAAAAATCAAAGGATATTAAATACAAATGAGTTTATATGTGTTGCTTGTTCAAAAGGGAAGTTAATAACTAGACCATCACCGCCAAAAGTGGGAACTGAATCCCCTTCATTTCTAGAACGAATTCAGGGTGATATATGTGGACCTGTAGATCCACCATGCGGACCATTTCGATATTTTATGGTACTTATCGATGCATCTACTAGATGGTCGCATGTGTGTTTATTATCTACCCGCAATTTGGCATTTGCGAGGTTGCTTGCTCAAATAATTAGATTACGAGCTCAGTTTCCAGATCACCCAATAAAGAAAATTCGTCTTGATAATGCTGGTGAATTTTCATCTAAGACTTTTGATGATTATTGCATGTCTATTGGAATTGACATTGAACATCCTGTACCTCATGTACATACTCAAAATGGTCTAGCTGAATCACTTATAAAAAGGTTGCAATTAATTGCAAGACCTATGCTAATGAAATCCAAACTTCCTGTCTCTGCTTGGGGATATGCAATTATGCATGCAGCAACACTGATAAAATTAAGACCGACAAGCTATCATAGCTACTCTCCAGTACAATTAGTATACAAAGAAAAGCCCAATATTTCACATTTGAGAACTTTTGGGTGCGCGGTTTATGTGCCAATTACACCGCCCCAACGTACAAAAATGGGCCCCCAACGGAGATTGGGGATATATGTCGGGTACGAATCACCATCTATCATTAAATATCTTGAATCATTAACTGGTGATTCATTTACGGCTCGTTTTGTTGATTGTCATTTTGACGAGTCACATTTCCCGATATTAGGGGGAGAAACTGATCAACTGAAAAAGGAAATTACTTGGAAAATACCATTCAGTTTTCTTGATCCTCGTACAAGTCAAAGTGAATTAGAGGTACAAAGAATTTTACATTTGCAGCGAATAGCAAATCAGTTGCCTGATGCTTTTTGTGACACCAGCAGGGTCACTAGATCTTATATAGCTGCTGAAAATGTACCTGCTAAAATTGTTATTCCTGACGACAAAATACAAAGTGCTAATGAATCAAATGTACGCTTAAAGCGTGGCAGACCTGTAGGTTCCAAAGATAAAAATCCTCGAAAGAAAAGAGGAACAAATGAAAGGATTGAAGATTTGAATGTTAATCAAAAACCTCAAGAAACAGATAATAACATTGATCAGATTTCTAGAGAAATTGATCATGATAAACTTGATGATGATGTTAATTCTAATAGAATTTCTTCTGAAGAGAATGAAATTATTGAAAATTCAATAAATTATGTTACTACTGGAAAGCATTGGAACCGAAGTGATACAATTATGGATAATGCTTTTGCATATAATGTAGCACTTGATCTAATGGAAAATGAGGAGGATCCAGAACCTAGATCAGTTGATGAATGTCGGAAAAGAATAGATTGGCCAAAATGGAAAGATGCAATCCAGTCTGAATTAAATTCACTGGCAAAACGAAAAGTTTTTGGACCGATTGTTCAAACACCTGAAGGTGTTAAGCCTGTTGGCTATAAATGGATATTTGTTCGAAAGCGAAATGAGAATAATGAAATTGCCAGATATAAAGCAAGACTTGTTGCCCAAGGTTTTTCACAAAGACCTGGAGTTGATTTTAATGAAACATATTCTCCAGTAATGGATGGAATAACATTTCGATATCTTGTCAGTTTGGCAGTACATGAAAATTTGGATATGCGTCTGATGGACGTTGTAACTGCGTATTTATATGGCTCGTTAGATAGTGATATTTACATGAAAATCCCTGAAGGGTTTAGTATGTCTGATGCATATAAATCAAAGCCAAAAGAATGTTATTCTATTAAATTACAAAAGTCTTTGT